GTCAATCGATATCTACAGTTGCCTTGATCTATCCACTATCCTTCTCCTCATCCTTTCCTCTATCACCCCTATCTGATCTTGCTCCAAATCTTCTGTAACCGCTTGCATCCTAGTGGCTTCCCGCCTTGCTTGGGGTGAAACGCTTAAAAAAAATACTGCTTTTTATCCATGATACCCTGTACTTGTTCTCCTTTTCCAGAAGTAACAAAACATCCTCAGAGCAAAATTCTCACGCCATCTTGTTTAATTATAAGGGCGGGTATTGGGGGGGGTTAGTGAGCTTCATTCATTATCCTCCGTACAAAACAGAAGTTGATATGACCAATTAATTCTATTTTGATTTCATTTGACCATAAATCAGAGTTCCGGTATTTTCTTATTTCAAGATGGCTTCTAGCGTAAACTAGCCTGCATTTTAAGTGTTTAGCCTTAAGCATAAGAGTTTTCCTTGGGCAAGACGCTCGAAACCTGCACGATGGAAGCACCTAGAAACTCTCTTCTTAGATATATTCAACCCTGATGTCTTTATATTATTTACAATGTCCTTTGTCATTAAGCGAGGCTTCTTCGAGACATCTCTAACAATTTTCTTTTCAATTCTCTCAGAAATTAACCATTTTCTGCCAGCCGTTATTTTGTTCTCAACACAATGAGTCCTGTTGTATTTCTTGATGATGCTATGAATTGTCGATCTAGGATCATTTAAACGCTTGTAAGCATCAATTATCTTCATTCGGAGCTTCTTGTCAAGTTCAGCCATCTTTGGTTTGAATTATTGCTGGACATGACACTCACTTATTGTCTTCTTCATTAACTTTTAGAATGTTATAGAATCAAGTCAATACTATTTCATTTTCAAAGGGTATTTGTATTAAATGCCACATTAAGAAAAATCATTACAATTTCTTTAGAGCAATATTATTGCATAATTTCCAAATAATTTTAGACTGCACCAATTGTTAGAAAAATATATAACTGAATATAATAGATTGAAACTTCTAAACATTTCACGAATTATTCAAAACTAAATACGGAATCAACTATTTATGGTAAGTGCTGACAAATATTGGCATTTATGCGGGATTTGATTAAATTAAATTAAAACCAGTCATTCGATAAACCATGCACATAATTACACACACCTTTAGACACGGCAACTAATATGTAAAACACACTCGAAAATCGAAATCTGTCTCGCGTCCACCAGGGAACTAATATGAAGAATTAAACTAAAGAAAGCGAGGACAAAAAATAAAAGGGGACAATGAGCATACATCACCGAGCTAAGTTAACACGGTGTAAGAAACTAAAAGCAAAACAAGGCTTAACTAACCAATTTTGGGCGGAGTTATTAAATACAATGTCAGTGTTCCCAATATTCTGATGCTTAAGCGGTATCAGAATAAATCTAAGTCGGCTCTGTTCATTCGACAGATACATGCAAGATTCAACTATCTTTTGCCAAACTCTGGGGAAGTATGTTTCGAGATTATTTCTTTGAAGTTTGGAAGATATCTTAAATCTTTGATTTTACAAGTATGCGTTAATACTTTTCCCGCCTGCCCACGCTACCGACATTCGGTAAACGTCACCTTTAAATTCTAGATGGGTTTAGATTTTTTCTTCTTTTCATTTGATTCGGCAGAAGGGCTTTGTCTTTTCTGTTATCAGATTTTTTTAGGTGAATTTATCGGTTTGTGGTGTAGCCTTTGTTTGGTGGGGATTTCTGAACAGCATATTTTTGGAGGGTCGTCATCTTTTGGAACTGGAGGTGAAGCCATGATATATAATTTTGATTGAAGGGGGAGACGGCACCAAGAAAGTTGAAAGTTGCTGTGTTCTTTTAAACTTCATATCTGCCTCAAGGTGTTGTATTTTCTCCTTTTTTTTTTTTCAAAATTTCGCTCGTATTTTATTTTCATCGCTTCCGTGTAGCTGGCCGAGTCATCTCCCTTGGAACTGGTAGAGGAAGTGGGACTGTTCGTGTCTTTACCCATGGGGGCTTCCGGGGATTGAGATCCCGCTCTCCGGAGTTTCCCTCTGCTCTTGTCAACGACCAGCCATTGCCCTTTTCCACAAGCGGCTAGAAAAGGCTTTACGGGAAATGGGAGCTGAGTATTGGACCCAACCGAGGGTTTTAAGACACCGGTCTCAATCGTTGGCATACCCATCACAACCGAGGCAGAAATAACAGATTCGAACAGAGGGGGATTTGATTCGGCGGAGGTCAGAACTCCAGTGTCCCTTTTCTCTGGGCAGAAAGAAGAGAGGTCTCCAGACTCTCTACACTTCCAACAGGTTGCTTTACGGCCGGCCACAACGACCGGCATTTTCTCGCCCTTTACATGCATACAGGTGGGAATCCTCACAACTTCATGCCCGATTCAGATAATCATAGGTAGATATTAGTACCTGACGATACTGTACCAGATAGGTGGCCAAGTGATCTCATACGACTTAAGGAGGAACCTCGTGTACTGATACTTGATCGTGGGTCTGCTTGCATGTACCATGCAGAATATTAAGTCTTTGGTTATGAGATCTTGACTGGAGGCGTCCTCACAGTCGACAGGCGTGGGTAATAGTACGTCCTACATGAAGTAACATTTACCCTTGATTACTCTTTGGGATTTAACCTACAGAGACGTAAAAGATTTTATCAACTTGTCTTTAGTGGAGCGAAAAATTTTTCACGAACGCTTATAGACCAAGAAAGCAAACAATTCTTTTCTCAACCCTCTGTAATTCCTGTAAGACTGCCAAGAGCCCATCATCCTTGATAAGATGTTCGTAACTCTTGACTCTCTCTTGGCAATCACTAATATTGATTATACACTTTGGGGGGACTTCCAGCAAGAGCATGAATTCCCCCCCGCTACATTATATTTGGTGCTGATTTTGATGTCGTTGTTATTCTCCTATTCATTCTGGGTTTTCTTATTTACGATTGGTGTATTTTTTCGGTTTCAGATTCGGAATTTGTGCCATTTGCGGTCACCATACTTTGTTCATTTTTACATTTCGTCGTCGATGGTAATATCCGTCGGTTGTTTTTGTCTCGAAGCAAAGTGTTCTTTTTAGCAGCCGAATTTTGTCGGCCATTTTGCAAAAGATTGTGAGATTTTAAAAAAATAAATAATTGAACAAACGGAAAAAAAAGAAACAGTATTGATAAAATCTTTGAAACAGATTAAGAAGAAATTAAAGTATTTCCACAAAATGTGGGGTGAAAAATAAATATAATAAAATTAGCCTCACGTACAACCAGTAAAAATTGAAAAAAATAAATAAACGGAAGACGAAAAACTGAGTTTACCAGCAGACGAATGAAATTAAAAAAAATTTAACGAGTAGAAATTAAAGAAATTTACTTCAAAGACACAAACAATAAAACAAATGCCAAAAAGTAGGGGTCATTTAAAAAATATCAAATTCAAATGCAAAATATTTTTAAATCAACAACAACTGAAAAATATAAATTAATCACACGTCTAGCAAAAAAAAAAAAAAAAATAAGGTCCGCCTATTAAGAAAAAAAATGGCCGAAATAAACTGAAAAATAAAAATAAATTTGACCGAAGGTATAGCGCAAAAAAATAAAAGTTAAACTGGGAAATAAAATTTTAAAAAATGCGTTTTAAATACGGTGTTTATTTTAAATAAGGAAAGAAAAACTTACAACAAAATTACAAACAAGGAATGCAAAATAAATCATAAACATTAGTGCAACAAATAAAGAAAACATAGCTTATTCCTGGGGGAGGGTGAAAGAAAACTGAAAACGAAAAAGATACAATAATCGTAACAGATACAGTCAATTTAAAATAATTTTAACCAAAATAACTTGAAACATATTTAGGTGTCTTTAAAAAAAATGAATGTGAAATAAATGTTGTCGTCTATACAAGATTTAAACGGTCATTCTCAAAGTCAAGAGGCTAGCGTCAACGTATATGTGTTGTTTTTTTGCTCGACTATTTATATACACTGGTCAGTGATGCATTGTTTGTAGTCTATTGTATTGTTCTAATAGTTATTTTCATGGACGGTGAAGATTGTTTCGAATTATTCTAGGCGATATTGAGTGGGAATAATTGTGGATCCGGATGCAGTTTTATGATTATTTATAGTGTTATTTGTTAACTTTCTTAATTTACTAATGATTATTTCATAGTTGATAGTTATTATCATGTTTACTTGTGCATATGTGAGCGTTCGTGGTTTCTTAATTCATTTATTATTTACTTAATCTATTTAATTATTTATTGGTTTCGATTAATTTGGTTTTATTTTTATTTATTTAATTTTATTTATTTATTTATTATTCGCTTATTCTTGTTCGTTTTACTTTTAGATATTTAAGTAACGTAGTAAAAATTTGTTTTCGCTTCTGCATTTAAAGATGTGTTCAGACCGACGAGCAAAAAACAAAAGGCATGTATTGCGTTCAAGCATGTAACAGACTATCGCCGCACACACACACACACACACACGCACGCACACAAACACACACACACACACACCCATATATATATATATATATATATATATATATATATGCGTGCAGCAGATCATCTAAACAAGTTTTATTAAATTCAACTGAATAGGAGTCTATTTAATTATTTATGGTATTTGTCCAATTTTCGAATCAATTATCGCACATACTTATTGATTGATTTTTTACAACTTCTGAACATTTTGTGAGTTATTTAAAGCTTAGAAATATTACACATTAACCAGGTTCGACACTGCTTAACTCCATCTTGCATAAAGATATATATATATATATATATATATGTGTGTGTGTGTGTGTGTGTGTGTGTGTGTGTGTGTGTGTGTGTGTGTGTTTAATGGCTACTCATTTTGCGAGCAGACCCATCTACTAGGGTAGAAAAACAATCCCAATTACAGACACCTGGTCAGGGACATTTATGCTTGTTCAGCACATGCAGAGGACACTTGGGCTTTATACTGCAAGTGTCCTGAGTGGACCTAATGGTTCAATTCGAACCCGGGTCTAACCGTTCGGCCATGCACAGATAGATAGATAGATAGATAGATAGATGTTTACCTCCACTCTGAGTTTACGAGAGTAGGAAATCAATCGCTGTTACAGACACCTTGTTTAACACGCACAGAGAACACTTGTGCATTATACTGCTGACTGGACTCAGTGGTGAAATTCAAACCCTGGCCTAAGCATTCGGCCACGTACAAACAGATAGATAGATAGATAGATAGATAGATAGATAGATAGATAGATAGATAGATAGATTGTTTAATTCCCTCTTATCGGGGTTTGTGAGGATAGTAAAACAATCCCTGTTATAGACACCTTGTTCAACACAAACAGAACACACTTGTGCTTTATACTACCGGTGAAATTCAAGTCTGGCTCTAACGATTCGGCCACGCACAGATAGATAGATAGATAGATAGATAGATGTGAAGGGACTGTGATAGATAGATAGATAGATAGATAGATAGATAGATAGATAGATAGATGCGGGCTGTCAGAAATTCCCTTAATATCGACAATCGAACACTTTTCCCCCGGTGTCTGTGGGTTAATAAAATCTTTATTTGTATTTCTTACAATGTAAATATATATTTTTTCTGCCTTTATAATAATCAGCAGGTATTGATAAAACGTGAAGAAACAACATCAGTCAATCAGTATATTATATTATATTATATTAAGCCCTAGACTTTCAACAGGGTCGGTTAACGTAACTTCTCTCTGCTTTTTCTATAAATATTTTCAGGGTAATTGATCTGATGCGTCATCCTCTTGTCTTTAATTTCTTATATAAGTATTGTAATATTTGTAAACATTAATTGGGGCGTCATTTTTAAATGTTGTTATTTTTTCCCACCCATCACAGACAAATTATACGTACATATTAGTACTAGTTATGTCTTCAAAGACTTTGAAGCCTATGGTAGCTGTAGTAGTAAGAATGGTGAGTAAGAATTGTTATTGTTTTGGCGTAAGGAATACTGTGGGATATTTGGGTCTGTAATTGTCGCTAGCTAAGTTTAATAGAGGATGTTTCGTTAAGATGGATCAAAGTCAGCAGTAAATGAATCAGTTTTATTGGTAAAAAAATATTTATTTCTCTATTGGATCATGTTATTTACGTCATGGCAAAATGAATATCACCCAAATGTCCACCAAATCTGAAAGAAAATGAAAAAAAATCATTCGACGCTAAAACTTAATTCGTATTTAAAATCGGTCCAAGTTATTGGAACACCTTTTGGAAAAAAAAAAGACATTTATGGTGATTTTCTAACTGTAGCTTTTATGAGACAAAAGACAAAAAGTATGGGGCACACAATAAGGATCGAACTCGCTACTCAGTCGCAAATGATTTAACAACGCAAACAGCCTATACATTTTTATTTTTAGTATACATGTATACATACGCATGGCTATCGATGTATATATGTTCACACACAACACAGACATATCATAAAGGGTGTTTTATTAAGACGGATTATATATAAGGGTGTTTCATTAAGACGGATCAAAGTAAATAAATCAGTGTTATTGGTGAAAATGTAGTTATTTCTTTATTGGATTACGTTATTTAAGTCATGGCAATTATGTGTGAAAAATAATAACTGAAAGAAAAAAAGAAATAAACATTAGACGCTTAAACTTGATTCACATTTAAAATCGGTCAAATTTATTGGAACCCTTTTTATAAGGCAGACTGAAGAACAGCATTCCCCAATACCCTCTTTTCGCCTTATACCACATTTTGGCATTTTCAAAAGAAATATTACTTTCCTCTATAGAATCTATAGTTTATGAATTTAAGCATCTCTACTAGATTGGCGGCATGGTCTCATCATTTTACAGTTGGAATGACTAGATGTAACCGCAAGTTCTATGTTAACATTTTCTTCTCTCGGGATTTGCGCCTGTGGGGTTCTCTTCCATCTTATTGCTTTCTAATTTAAATGCAATATCATTCGTTGTCTTCAGTTCTTTAATGATTTTCCCTCCTTAATATTGTTCTTCACTTTCTGATATTCTCTAACACTGAGCCACTTCTTGCATCTTAGAGGCTTTATTGCCTTGCTTGGGGGGGTGAATTTTTTTTTATCCTTGGTTCTTCACAAGATGTATTTTCTGTTTTTAGTTCAGTTAAAGCACTACTTATCTAGGCCTCTTCTATTTCTCGCACGCATTATTACCTTTTGATCCTCTTTCAAAATTGGAAATTAAAAAGAAGATAAAAGACTTCGAAGAAAATTGGATGGGCAGTTAAGAAAGAAACCAAAAATTTTACCAATGCATTACTACATTTTGTTTTCTTTCTTTACGTACATTTTTTTTCTTCTCATTTTTCAGAGGCTGGTATAATCCGGCGCTAAAAGAGGCAAAATGGTGTCCGCGCTCTATTATTTTCAGAGTAGCCTTTGTGGAATGAGTCAATCAGCAACTTTTCAAGTCTGTAACCTGGTTATACAATTTCGTCTTAAAACATAATGGATGCACGTAATAGATAGATAGATACATGCATACATACATACATACATGCTTAGACAGACAGACAGATGGACAGAAAATTTAATAAGATGAACAGACTCGGATAGATAGATAGATAGATAGATAGATAGATAGATAGATAGATAGATAGAAACTAAGGTAGATAGATTTGAGATGACTTAGATATGAAAAGACAGACAGACAGACAGACAGATAGATAGATAGATAGATAGATAGATAGATAGATAGAAAGAAACTAAGGTAGATAGATTTGAGATGACTTAAATATGAAAAGACAGACAGACAGACAGATAGATAGATAGATAGATAGATAGATAGATAGAAAACTAAGGTAGATAGATTTGAGATGAGTTAGATATGAAAAGACAGACAGATAGATAGATAGATAGATAGATAGATAGATAGATAGATAGATAGATAGATAGGAACTAAGGTAGATAGATTTGAGATGAGTTAGATATGAAAAGATAGATAGATAGATAGATAGATAGATAGATAGATAGAAACTAAGGTAGATAGATTTCAGATGACTTAGATATGAAAAGACAGCTAGCTAGCTAGCTTGTTAGATAGATAGATAGATAGATAGATAGATAGATAGATAGAAAGAAAAAGACTAAGGTAGTTTTGAGATGACTTAGATATGAAAAGACAGACAGACAGATAGATAGATAGACACATACATACATACATACATACATACATATTTGAACAGTCTGTGATAGATAGATAGATAGATAGATAGATAGATAGATAGATAGATAGATAGAAAATTTTCTGATATAATTACGAACAGACTGGGGTAGATAGATAGATACATACAAGCATATATTTGAATAGTCTGTGATAGATAGATAGATAGATAGATAGATAGATAGATAGATAGATAGATAGATAGATACGGCAATACCTAGATTTATGTAAACAGATTGCAGGTTGGGATTGGTCAGTGAATTGTATAACATACCAAGCCTTTCTTTATTTCCTTCTTATACTTTAGTCTATACGTAAGTATTTCTCCTATTTATACTTGAATGGCCATAAAAAAATTGATTATGTCCGTGGGTAAATATTGTCCGAATTTTGAGTCTCTCAGCAAAATACAAACGAATAAAACCTCTCGGCGTTAAAGCAGAAACACTTACGTCAGAGTCTATAGGACGGTGCTACAGAACTAATTCCAAAAGCTGATTTTAATGATAATATTGCCGTTTTGCCTATTATGAAAACATTTGACATTCTTTGACCAAGCAGCCAGTTCTACTGAAAATTCATAAATCTTTCTATTAAAACAATTTTAAAATAAATTTCTCAAGTCTACAAACTGGTATCGCCTTTTCCATTACTCATGGTAGTTTCCTTCCTAACTTTTTGCTCGAAATAATGTACGATGTCAATATTTTACTATACCATTATTTTTTGTCGGCCATTTTTTAAAAAGATCGTGCCTTTTTTTTTATAGCAAAACAAGGAAATTAAAAAATAATAATTGAACAAACGGAAAAAAAAGAAACAGTAAAGAACAAATTAAAGTATTGTGATTTTCCAAGCGTAGCTCAGATGTGGCACAAGGCCGAAAGTTTGAGGCACCAAGTGAGGATCGAACTCACTACTCAGTCGTAAATTGTTCAAGCGAGACGAGCTTGCTAACCATTACATCATCTCGAGGTGCCCCGGATCAAATTAAAGTAATTCCACAAAATGGTGGGGGGGGGATAAATAAAATAAAACTAGCCTAACGTACAGAAAGTAACAATAACAAAATTAAACAGAAGGCGAAAAACTTTGTTTACCAGCAGACGAATGAGATAGATAGATAGATAGATAGATAGATAGATAGATAGATCTGTTCTACAAATACTTTCATGGAAATTGCTCCGAGGAACTGCATTCGCTGGTTCCCAAACTTCATGAGTTCAAGCGCCCTACGAGGCTGGCATCCCGCTCTCACCCCTTCACTGTCGAAACTCCTAAATGTAGCCGTCTCTTCTACTCTAATAGCTTCATGTCTCGCACCTCTCGCCTGTGGAACTCTCTTCCCTTCTCCTGTTTCTCTGAGAGTTATAATCTCCAGCTATTCAAGAGTAATGTCAATCGACATCTCCAGTTGCCTTAATCTATCTACTACCCTCATCCTTTCTTCTATCACTCCTATCTGCTCTTCCTATTTTCTGTAACCCCTTGCGTCCTAGTGGCTCCCCGCCTTGCTTGGGGTAAAATGCTTAAAAAAAAAAAAGAAGATAGATAGATAGATACACAGAATGCGATAGAAAAAATAGATAGATAGACAGACAGACAGACAGAATGCTATAGATAGATAGATAGATAGATAGATAGACAGACAGACAGAATGCTATAGATAGATGTGGTGAGCAGAATGATTTAGATATATCGTAAACAGAATGATTTAATTAGACAGAATGCGATAGATAGATAGATAGATAGATAGATAGATAGATAGAATGAGATAGATAGATAGATAGATAGATAGATAGATAGATAGATAGATAGATAGACAGAAATTTATTGCAAGGGTTGATAGTTTAGAGATATTTAAACGTGTTTGACCTAATGCAGAACATCCATATGGAAGTCTTGATTCGACGAGGGTATTTAAGAATATGACACAAGATCTTATATTAATGTTTCGTTTTTGTAGCTGTATTGAGCGAAACTACCCCTACAACAGTCAACACCCTTGTGCAATTTATTTAAAACAATCGCTTTAATTTTCCTTCTTTCACTATAAGGTCAGTTTTAGACCCACTGGGGTAATCGATTTCTACTTATTCCTCAGATTACGTCATTTGCAGTGGTGTGCAATAATATGAATTTATTTTCGGGGTGTATGATGAAATTCGTTTGGTCTTGAAAAATATTGCGTTATCCGTGACTGCATCGGATTTTTATCACGCCTAGAAATTATTGTCTCGACTGTCGATTAGTAGACCTACTGCCATTGCACTAATACACTGGTATTCCTTACCAGTGAGCAAATAAAGGTACTATAGACTTGTCCGATTGATTTTAATCCAATTGAGAATCTGTGATCAATCTGCAAGGAAAGACTTCGTGGAATGGATCTACGAAGTACTAAGATGGGGACTGGGTCATATTTAATTGTAGAAATACGAAAAACGTAAATAATAACGGATTTATTCGTTTTGTTTCAATTAATTTGCACAAGGGTTTATTCTGTCTTCAATTTCTTCATAGCCTATGTTAAATTTGTTATAAATGATGGACACATCGAGGTTTTTAAAGTGTGTAGTATTTCTTGATTCCACAAATGTAAGTTTGAAAGACGTAATACATATCACTTGAACAATTCCATAAACAACAACAAATAAAATAGACAACGCTTATAATGAGATGGGAATACACACACACACACACATATATATATATATATATATATATATATATATATAGATAGATAGATAGATAACTAAACTCGTTTCGAAAAACCCTCGAATTTTTGATTTGCTAATCAAATCAATCTCGAGGGAAAAAAAGGTTTTAAAAAAAGAAAGAGCTACAAACATGAACTTCTGCCGACAAAAAAATCGCACAGATACAGATCTGAAGTCCAAAGAAAAAACCCCGATACGAGTAAACAACTAACTAACAAAAGCGCTCAATACAACCGTAGAGCAGACCTAGATAAACCTAGTGAGCCAGACAAACCTACCTAGGTTTCACCTAAACGGATCGTCAGGGAAAGTCACTAGGTGTATCTATCTATCTATCTATCTATCTATCTATATATATATATATATATATATATATATATATATTTAATCATTTCACCAAAAGCAATGTGGGAATGCGTCTAGTACGCAGGGGGTTACAGAGAGTTAAACTGAGAGAAAAGACAGTGTAATGTGGGGATTGAGGAAAGGATAAAAGATGAACGGGTTTCAAGAAGAGAAAAGATGGTGATTGACGTTGCATTTAAATTTTTGAAGATTGAAGTTGTCCGGACAGCAAGTAAGCAGAAGGGAGTTCCACAGGCGAGAAGAGCGAGAAAAGAAACATTTGGAGTAGAATTGGCCGTTGCATTTCAATATTTAAACAGTAAAAGTGTGGGACCTAAATGCCAATCGAGTAGCAGGCTTAAATTCATTCAGTCAAGGCACCAGGGAAGAAAGGTCGCTAGAGAGTTGAATTTCGACACTACCTTAAACTTTGGTTTTAATCGTCTAACAATAGTAGAAAGAGCTATAACAGTTAGTGGACTTTAAAGATAAAAAATTCGAAGTCGTTCTTTAAGATTTCTTAGTCGTAGATTAAAGCCGCTAAGATGAAAGGAATTACTGAGTGTGAAAACATTATTTACATTATTCGGACTATTGTCCTCATCTTTTTCGCCATATCTATCACAACGTTTCGAGGGGCGAGAACAATAGAAAAATGGATGTCATTTATCAGTTAAGGTAGTGGAGAACTTTCAGAGGGGAATTAACAGGAGATAACAGATAACTGACATCCATTAGACATGGCACGTGAAACTAGAACAGTCTACCCCAGCGAGCGAAATAAAGGGTTCGGTTCGACATTCCAACCACCTGAAGAAGGGTGGAGCGTACAACGGCCGAAACGTTGTGATAAATATGGTGACAAAGATGAGGACAATAGTCCGAATAATGTAAATAATGTACATAATACCTCATCTCAGAAATATAGACAGACTCTGAGTGTGAAAGAAAAAGACAAAATGAGAAACACTATTAAAGGGCGAGAACAATAGAAAAATAAGTGAGCAGATAACGATTAAAATTATATTTAATTTTTTACATTTATATACATGAAAATGCATACAAATATTTAAGTGCTGATTATGGCCATCCATAGTTTCCAATCTTTTTTTTTTTTTTGTTCTCAGCAATAGTTTCTCTTATAGGTTCGCCTATCGTCCAATTCACAGTCTTCCCTTGTTTTTTGAACAGGAGTAGAGGTTTTTCATTTGTCTCCGGTTTTTTCTTTAGCATGTTGGAATGATAGACATAGATATGTAAGACAGACATATAGATATGTAAGATAGATTCAGGAGTGAAAAAATGTCCAGCCCGACAGGGTGAACCCACTTTCAATGGATTCAATATAGTCTTGCAAATACATGTCAGCCGAGAATACAAGCCCGAGAAGGCTCAATAATTCACTCCGATGGAGGTTAGCATCAGCCACGCTGATGGAAACAGGAAACACTCTTTGAGGTACCGTTCTATCGCCTTCTTCGGGCGAATGATTCGTAAGAGTAAAAAGATGTATCTACGTCCTTGTAAAATTCTATTAATAGATATATTTTATGAATTCCATCCATCAGCGCCCAAACTTCAGCAAATGAATAGCTAACATAATTTTTGTATAGAAATGGGTATTTCCACTGTTATCATTAGAGATAGAGTGAATTAAAAATGTAGGTTCACGATAATTCATTAAGGACGTATATTCGAAAGCACTGGTGGCCTCATTAATACGGCCTTGAATCAGACCAGCATAGGTTAATCACGTAGATGCTTCCTGTGTTGTTACCCTTGTTTTATTTAAGCTTAGTACAACTGGAGCATTTACTCCTTAAATGTTCGCAAATCAAATTTAAAATCGGGATTCGAGGAATGTGAAATCGGCTAATGCAGCCGAGATAAAGAAAATATATATATATATATATATATATATATATATATATATATATATATATATATATTCTTATTCAGCATTTTCAGATGACAGGCTTTACTTGATCTACTGTCGATCATTTAGGGTCCGGGAAGAAGATGCTCATCTTCAAAGTGTCCATCGATTGGAGGATTTTAATGCCATTTATTGATTGAGAAATCGATTTTCCCGCGCGATATCAAATCACTGCTCAGCCTCTGAGCGTGATTTTCATCTGTCTACTGGGATGACTGCCTGAATGGATCTATTTATCTACATCAATCTATCGGGAGGGATTCGATAACGCTCGTCTAATTTTGTCTTTTCTTTTTCCTATATCACTTTTCTTCCTTTCTTTCTTTCTTTCTTTCTTTCTATTTTTCTCTATCTATTTTTCACTTTCTTTATCTTTTCGTAGATTACCCTCTTTAATTTTACTTTTCCTATTCCTCTCTTTCCCATTTTCTTTCTTTTTTGTTCCTTTTTAAATTTCTTCTTTTTATTCTGTCTTTTCTTTACCAACTCATCAACTGTCACCTCTCTTTTATTTCCTCTTCAACAATCACTTCATATCTATCTATCTATCTATCTATCTATCTATCTATCTATCTATCTATCTATCTATCTATCTATCTATCTATCTATCTATCGCAGTATGTTCGTCATCTATCTATCTATCTATCTATCTATCTATCTATCTATCTCAGTATGTTCGTCATTTATCTATCTATCTATCTATCTATCTATCTATCTATCTATCTATCTATCTATCTATCTATCTATCTATCGCAGTATGTTCGTCATCTATCTATCTATCTATCTATCTATCTATCTATCTATCTATCTATCTAAATAAATAAATAAAAATCTATCTATCTCAGTATGCTCGTCATCTATCTATCTATCTCTCTATCTATCTATCTAAATAAATAAATAAATAAATAAAAATCTATCTATCTATCTATCTATCTATCTATCTATCTATCTGTCTAGATTTATATATACAAACACACAGAGGAACAGACAGACAGACATATATATGTAAAGCTGCCCAAATCTATATATCTCAATCAATCTATCTATTTATTCGAAGTTATCTATCTATCTATCTATCTATCTATCTATCTATCTATCTATCTCAGTATGTTCGTCATCTATCTATCTATCTAAATAAATAAATAAATAAATAAATAAATATCTTACTTTATTCGTATCTATCTATCTATCTATCTAAGTTTGTTCCTTATCTATCTATATCTCCTTTTTTCTGTCTTGTCTTTCTAATCTCTTCTGCTCTCAGTTTTTTTTTATTGTCCTTATTTCTTTCTCTTTTTCCTCTTGAAATATCACTTCATTTCTATCTATCTATCTATCTATCTATCTATCTATCTATCTATCTGTCTGTCTTTTCATATCTAAGTCATCTCAAATCTATCTACCTTAGTTTCTATCTATCTATCTATCTATCTATTTATTTTTCATTTTCTTTATATTTTCTTTTTCTCTTTCTCTTTTAGAATTTTCTTTTGCTGTTTCTCATTTGCCCCCCCCTCTTCTTTTCTATCTTTTTTTTTTATTTTTTCGTTTCCTTTCGTTCTCACTACTGCTATCATTATTTTATTCTTCGTTTTCTCTATCTTTCCTCTCGCTTTTTGTGCTTTTCTTTCTATTTTAATTCACCTGCAATTTCATTTAATTTCTTTCTTTCTTGCGTTCGTTCTTTGTTTGTTTGCTTCTTTCTTTCTTTCTTTCTTTCTTTCTTTCTTTCTTTGTCTTTATTTTTTCCTATTCATTCCCTTTTTCTATAATCTTTCTTTCTTTCTCTTTCATCTCCTTCCTTGTTCTTTTCTCTTTATCTTTTCCCTTTCTTTCTCTCTTTCTCACTCTTACGAACGCGGTATTTCCGTTTTCTTTTCAGTGCCCACCCCCACCATCTATTTTCCTCTTTCTTTATTTTGCCTTTGATACTTTTTTCTCTTAGAATATCTTCTATTTCTCTTTTTTCTTCTCTCTCTCCCTCTCTCTCTCTCCCCCCTCTCTCCTTCCCTTTCCTTCTTTTTGTTTCTCGCTCTCTTTTCTTTCCCACTACATTCTATGTCTGCATTTCTATAGTGGAAATTTTGTTTTCTGTCACCTTTGCTTAATCCATCATTTGTTTGTTTGTGTTGATTGGGTCCACCCCTTTTTATACAAATGAACTCACCCAGTATATACATATACAACTGCAAGAGCAAGACGAGAGTAAGAGAGAGCAAGACCGAGGAGTCGAGTCCAAAGTAACAGAGTAAAAGGTTGTAGGTAACAGCGTTGTAGAAGTCACAGTGAGCGAGCACGTAGACTCAGTAAGAAGTTATACATCGATACTTCAATTCCAAAGACTATATATATATTTTGCTACTAACAGGTATTCCTGGAACTACTAACCTGCTTTACCAGTTTGTATCATTACGTTAATACATTATTTTCATATATTCATTCCTGGCGTTTGTTATTTATTGGTACCGGATTTCAACCCGGAATCCACAACAACTTGGCAACGAGGATACCGAACTGACACGGGAAGAACAAACAACAAAATCCTCCCTCGTCCACAACAGGTTGTTTGTTTGTTTCTTTCTTTCTTTCTTTCTTTCTTTCACATATGCTTTGACTGTATTTTTTTTTCATTTTCTTTCTCTTTTCTATAATCTTTCTTTCTTTTTTAATTTCTTCATTGTTCTTTTTCTTTATCCTTGTCTTCCTTTTCTTTCTCTCTCTTTTACTCTTACTAACACGTTCTTTCTTTCTTGATTTCAGATTTCCCCTACCTATTTTCCTTCTTTTTTTTTTGGTTTTGTCTTTGACACTTTCAACAGCCAAAATATTTCCCCGAGCCGCAGGTCAAAGAGCCGCATGTGTCTCGCGAGCCGCGTTTTGGCCACCTCTGATATAGACCAAGGATAAATATCTTTCAGTTCTCAAAAATACTGTCAAGTAGGCGTCAGAAATCTCCGAGGTCAATGAGGGAGGTGCTGGAGCAGATTTGGAATCCCGAGCACTAAGCATTCCCGAATCCTGAGTGCTTAGACAATGCTGGTCAAATACTAAAGAAAAGATAAAAAGAGCACCTTTTAGAAAGGGATCTTTTCTTTTTACGTGCCATGCCCTTTTCACCGAGACACCATCAGGCAGTTTCGTTCCTCTGACCATATCTAGGGATATCTAGTCTTGTTCTTCTTCATTACAGCTACGTAATTTATCCGGGAAGTGTTCTGACAAACACTGAGATTCATAGACGTATTGGGATGACCAAGGACACATTCCAAAAGCTGAGCAAAGTATTGCGAGACAGGAGGATTTCTTTGGTAACAAAGAAAAGAATACTGAGCTGTTACGTGACATATGTTCTTCTTTGCGACAGCAAATGTTGGGCGATTTTCTCAAAGATGAAGAAGAGACTCGAGGCGACAGAGATGTGATTCTACAGAAGGATGCTAAGGATATCATGAACCGAGCGCGTGAGCAACGATGAGGTATTACAGAGGACGCAAACAAGGAGGACGCTTATACTTAACATCAGGAGGATGCAGCTGAAGTTTCTGGGGCATATAATGGGGAAGGAGGGCCTAGAGAATCTGATACTCACGGGTCGAATAGAGGGAAAGAGAGAGAAATGAAAACAACGCATGGTATACCTAGCGGGTTTAAGCAGGTGGATGGCAGAAATTTGTGTTAGGTGGCAGAGTTAAAGAACTTGTTTATAGCTGCAAGGGATAGAGGGAGGTGGAGAGCCATGATCGCCTACGTCCTGAAAGGACACGGTACATAGAAAGAATTACCTGACGTGTTTCCATTGAATCTAAGTCTGTACTCTCCGGCCCAGGATTTGAACTCACAATTATTGTGCAACCCGAAGGGGTGCAATGGTTAACAAGTTTATTTTGCTAGTCAGTTATGACTGAGTAGTGAATTCGATCCGCAGTACAAAAAAAAAAAAAAAAAAATTCCTATAAAAAACTACTACTAAGACATAACACTATATTAATTGAACGATATACTTAGTTCATGACATATTAACTGAAAACACTTGTAAAAATAGAATGCGTGGATTTACCACATCACAAGAAAAGTTCAAATAAAATTCTCACTTAAAATTTTGAAAAACTTAGCGTTTCGTCTTTGCACGTTCCGAGATTGTACACAACCGTCAATAATAGCAGATATTCCAAAAAAACATCTTTCGGTCGACAAACACTTATTTCGTCTCCAAGTTTTAATTTTATAAGGAAAAATAGGCCTGACGATGAATAAAGGATTATTCGAAAGTACTTGTATTTAAAAAAAAAAAAATACACTGGCATCGACATCTACCAAATCTCCATCTTTAGGGCAACGAGGGAGGTGCTGAGGCAAAGTAAGAATATCCAGTATTTGGAAATGAGAAAGAGAAAGATGTACACGAAAGAAGGGACCCGGCACTGAAGAGAATACAGACTACATTTCGGTTCCAGCCTGAAGGATGAATGACACATGTAAAGGCGCCAAATACTTAGCCAGAAACAACAACAACAACACAAAAGATAGTGTGTGGATGAGATTGAAATTAATCGAGAGAGTGAGAAAACGGGGTAAATGATGTATAGGGAGGAGAATCCTACTAAAGAAGAAAAATACAGCTTCGAAGAGCTGATAGGTAAAAATATAAAGGCATTTTAGTAACGAGACAAGGCCTTGGTTAATTGGCAAAGGTTGTCGCGGGAAAAAAAAACGTCAATTAGTTCGTTCTTTTAACATTTTTACAGCGAGAGACACATTTAATGGAAATTGCGAGAATGTATGAAAAAATAGAGATGTATTATAGAATAAAAAAAAAAAACATCAAAGAGATTTTCACAAAGACGCAGTCAAATTAGAAGGGATACAATAGGAAAATTTAATCTCTCTCTCCATTTTCACCCTCCCTCTCTCCCTTTCTCTCTTTATATATATATATATATATATATATATATATATATATGGAGAAAGAGATTAAAGTTTCATATATATATGTGTATGTGTGTGTGTGTGTGTACGTCTGTGTGTGTGTTGTTGGTTATACCACGCTTTTCATTATCTATCTATCTATCTATCTATCTATCTATCTATCTATCCTTTTCATTATCTATCTATCTATCTATCTATCTATATATATATATATATATATATATATATATATATATATCCCTTTTCATATCTATCTATCTATCTATCTATCTATCTATCACTTTCCATTATCTATCTCTATCTATCTATCTATCTATCTATCTATCTATCTCTTTTCCTTATCTAGCTAGCTAGCTAGCTAGCTAGCTATCCCTTTCTTTATCTTCTATCTATCTATCTATCTATCTATCTATCTATCTATCTATCTATCCCTATCCCTTTTCTTATCTATCTATCTATCTATCTATCTATCTATCTATCTATCTATCTATCTATCTATCCCTTTCATTTTCATTATCTATCTATCTATCTATCTATCTATCTATCTATCTATCTATCTTTCGATACATGACTGACAGGGCAGATTTTCTCCCGCAGCAGATTGGCATTTCTTTCTGCGGTAGATCAGTTGCCTTCCAAGGCTATAAAACCAGGTCTGTCCTGCTATTTACCCAAAGCTGGGGGGAGAAGAAGAGGATTCTTACCTTTCCCAAGGGTATTAGCACATAAGTGAATGTAAATGTAATGGATCTGATTGTAATTAGAACTAGGCTCTTATCCATTACTCCACCTTTAGCGGGAAAAGCGTGAATTTGTAAAGAGTGACTGCGACTCCTGCTGATTTTATATATATATATATATATATATATATATATATATATATATATATATATATATATATATTGTTTAATTAAAAAGAAAACAGATAACATTAAATGCGAACCAGGAAAAATCCCTTTCCTGGATAAATAAGATATAATCAGTAGACACTTAAGATTGTCTGTTTTTTAATTAAACTAATATTCACTCTGTTTTTACATTGAGCTCTCTGGATTGCATCTCCTTGAGATTATCAATACAGATTATCAAACATTTCATTTCCTGACTATATATATATATAAATATATATATATATATATATATATATATATTAGGTTGGTGCAAAAATAATGACGTAATAATGTCGTTTTTTGACGCATTTTTTAAGGTCAAAAACGACATTATTACGTCATTATTTTTGGACCAACCTAATATATTAAGACATTTTTTTTGTTTATACATTCTTTTTGTAGATATATAAAAATATCTTAAAATAATTGCCGGACTTCATAATATATATATATATATATATATATATATATATATATATATATATATATATAATTGATAATTAGTAGGGATAATTCAAAGGAGGACATTAATCTAAAGTGTGCTCAATATAAGAACAGATCAATAAATAATGAGAACAGCATCCTTAAAAATCTATTTATTCATGCATATACAAAAATACATAAAAAAAATATTTCCATCTTTTCAGACTGACGTTTATCAAGAAAACGTCTATGTGAAGAATATAAGATATATATATATATATATATATATATATATATATATATATATATATATATATATATATATACGATCAAATATAGTTTAAAAGATCTGGTGTATTTATAGCTTATATAGTTGTGTGTAAAAGCATGAGATGAGTATGAAGTGATTTTCATGTAAAATACACAAGACAGAAATATAGGGTGTTCCATGAGATAATTTTAATATGCAAAAATAATTGAATCGCGTACAAATACATCGTACTACAAAAGGTAATCCCCAAATTTGAGAAATGTCATTATTAGCCTCTCAATATCAAGGATAGAGGGTACGTAAATATAGAAGTGGATATTGACGTCAACACCCAGAGGCGACAGTCTGTTTCATACTTAAAAACAAACTCGTCACTTTAGCATGAAACAGACTGTCGCCTTTGGTGTTGTTGATATATATATATATATATATATATATATATATATATATATAATCATTTCTGCAGTTTACTGCTACCAGCAACAGAAATATTTCTCCTCCGATAATGGCCATTTTGGCCGAAACTAGTTGAGAATCTAAATCAAATACTACTAATAATAAAAACGAAAGAATATTAATCTACAACCCAGTGTGTCTGAAGATTTTAATTTTTTTTTAATTTTTTATTGTTCAAAATTAATTTTCTTATTATTCAATATATATATATATATATATATATATATATATATATATATATAGTCAAACCTAGATCTGCTCTACTTTTGTATTGAACACATTTTTTAGTTAGTTGATTACTCGTATCAGGATTTTTTTCTTTGGGCTTTGGACCTCTATGCTGTACGATTATTTTCGACAGACGTTCATGTTCCTAGCTCTTTCTCTTTTTTAAAACCTTTTTTTTCCTTCGATATTGATTTGATCATTAGCAAATCAAGAAATCGAAGGTTTTCCGAGACGAGCGTAGTTACCTATATATATATATATATATATATATATATAATGTATATGTGTATAATCGCTTGTATGTGCCTTTCATTGTATGTACATTTTTGGGGGTATTTTTTTTGTTTTTAAAGCACCGTGGTCATATTTCCTGTCACGTCACTTTTTTGCGTGTTTATATATCTAAATATTTTTGCGTCTTTGTGTATTATAATCTGATTGTGTGTGTATGGTCTTTTTCAAGATCATGGTCATAATGTTTTGGCTCGTCAGTGTATGCGTGTAAGCATATGTATGTGTATATGCTTTTGTTACTAGACAATAGCTTTAGTTCTTTGTCATATGATACCGGTCATAAAGTTTCAGCTTATTTTTATATGTGCGTAGGTAGGTGCGTGTGTGCGCGCGCGTGTGTGTGTCAATCTTTACGGAAAAGGCTTGTCAACCTAGTCATTGATATATCGATGTGTCATCTCTCTATCTCATCGTTGAATCAACCTTATCCTCACACGCTCCGATTAGTGATTGTGTTATTTTAGCGCCGTTGTAAACGTAGATGTATTTGTTTCCGCCCCTCTGAACAGAAGGGAGGTGACGGCTGGAGATGAGCGCGCTTTGATGACGATCAAAGTAGGAACTGAAATATAGAGCAAAACAACCGTACAGGAAAGGAGGCAGTGACGCGGATAATGCCAAAATAAATGAAGAACCACAACCCCCACCAAAAAAAAAAAAAAAGAGATGTCGGAAGTTGAAAGGTAGGCCGACTTAAGAAAATATTCCACAACTGAAACAAAGAATTTCCAATGAGAAAATGAGTAAGAACATTGTTCTAATTTCTCATTGGAATTTGTAGAATCGTTTCGACTGCCGTCGGTCTTGCAACTCAAGAATGACTGTAACGTGTCTGTAAAAAGAATTCATTTCTTGTTTTACCGCCTGCGTTCTTCAAAAATTGAAGTGGAACGTCAATCGCCATATTCTCTCTTCCTGAAATCTCTTTTCCTTTTATAGTCTTATTAAGATCTTCCAATGGATCGCGTAAGAATCACTGACATCTTAAAGAAACTGGAATAAGAAAAGCCGACTTTTACTCGGAAATAAAAAGTGACTCCCACGACATATTGAAGGTATAATGGACAGTGTAACTTACTGTTATGATGTTGATTTGGGATTGATAAAGATTAACGCCAAATAACACGTAACAAATAAAAGGGGTTTATTCGGTTGGTAAGTATGTACAGAAATCGCCTGAGTAGTCTATAACTAGCTAAGCCAAGAACTTCTCCGACTCTGTCTGTCTTTTGACATGCCACTATTTAACGTCTTTGCTTGTAGACAAGTTCATCTTCAAGAGGGGTGGTAGGTTTCCGACAAAACACTTAATGAGCTTGTGTAAATGAATGGTAAAACAATGAATGGAAGGGACAGGCATTATTTAGGGAGAGGAAATATTGGAGAGACGTGATCATTTGAATGGCCAAGGTATATAAAAGCAGAAGTATTAATGTTCACACAAATTTTCTTGGCTTATGAACAGGATTAAAAATTTATCACTTGTTTTATATTTAGGATAGGGATTCCCCATCCTTCTCCTAAAGTTCTCTCAGTTTCTTTCACTCCCAGTAACATCTTGAGTCTTAGTGGCATTATCGCCTTACTTGAGAGGGGGGGGTCAAATGATTACAAAAACCTTTCTGTTCGTAGCATCTCATAAAGGTTATTTATTGCTCCTTTCTCACTTTCCTTAGATCTGACTTCGTCTCTCATTCTAACGAAGAACTTGGTAAACCGAATGGGTAATTCCAAGGAGGATGAAATCCTGAGAGCTCAATGTGAATCCAGAGCTAATATTTAATGAAAAAAAACAGACTACTTTAAGGTACCATTACAATAATTTATTTCACCAAAATCCTTTTTGAAGGACTCCGGATCATATACTATACCTTGTCTCGTTGATCGCCCCACCCCCCTGTTCAATTACAAAAATTACACTACCCATCAATTTCTAATCCCATTTTTCCTTTCATTTCGTTGTTAGAAGTGTTACCTGATGATCCGGGGTCCTTCAAAAGGTTTTTGGTGAAATAAATTATTGTAATGGTACCTTAAAGTGGTTTGTTTTTTCATTAAATATATATATATATATATATATATATATATATATATATATATATATATATATAATTATTTTAGAAAATATGATTCCTACACACTAAAAAAAAATTATAAAAAATAATAGTTAAAGCTCTACTTTTGTATGGAGCACTGTTTTTTTGTTTTTTTTTTTTTAAATAAAAACAAAATACTAAGGAACTCGGACTATTTACCTAACGTTTTCTTTCCTATTTTTCTATATATTTTGCACACACACACACACACACACACACACACATATATATATATATATATATATATATATATATATATATATATATATATATATATATATATAGAGAGAGAGAGAGAGAGAGAGAGGAGGGGGCAGGTAAGATGAGAACTAATAACGTCCAATTCCAACGTCCTTAACATTTAATTTAAAAAAGGCTTCAGTTCAAAGTAGCACAATATTCTTTATTTTAGGATATTGCGTCGAAAACATGTCAAAGTCGCTAAAGAATTGCAGTCGCGTTTCGATGCATATCAATGAATCTCATCAGGCGATTGTAAAATTACTGACGATTGAACGATTTAATGAGAATTAAAAGTAAAATACGAAAAAAGAAAACGAAAAGAGAAAAGTTGTATGCAGCCCCTCTTTTCTTTTTCTTTTTTCGGGTCAGTAAGGCAGCGTCCGTGAGAGAAAAAAAAAAACAAAAAACAAAAAAAACAAAAAAAAAAAAATACCATGACGCAATTCACTCCACTAGCTGTACGAACATTTCAGACTGTTTCAGTGTCACTGCGGACAGTGCAGAGGATTGGGAAAGAGTTGGATGAGTCTAACAGTGATTACGAAGGTACGGCAGCTTCGGAAAACTAATACTGATCATTTTGATAAGAGAAGTACATCCAAATTTCTTGTTAAGGGCCTCAGACTCAACACGGAGGTCTGCATTAATTGTCTTGAAGATATAGTACTGC